TGTTTTGTTATTAGTTTAAGTATTTGCTATTGACTCTTAAAATGCGGAGTTTTGCGCAGCGCAGAGTAACGCGTCATGTGTGTGTGTGTGTGTGTGTGTGTGTGAGAGAGGGGAACAGAGTCACATCACAGGAGAGTGAACCGTCTTTCAGAAATCATAGCACGTCAGCTGTCTTAACCGCGGCTTGTGTACTGCATCATCACTGTGTCTGTCACGCGACTCTGTTGCCCTTTCGGCTTGAACTGATGGTAAAACTAACTACATTATTAACTGTCTTGATATTTACTTTGAAAGCTGAAGTGATTATGGTAAGGGGCGTTATATTTCCGATACGTGCTTGTGGTGTTCGGCCAATCACAATGCACTGTGTCAGCTGGCCAATCAGAGCAGACTGTGCTTGTCAAAGGAGGGGCTTTGTAGAAAACAAAGTGTTTGAGAGAGGCGGGGCATAGAGGACCTACAATAATGTACAGTATTTGAAAAATAATGTGTTTTGTGAACATTAAAGCATGTCAACCTATTCTGTTACACCAAATACACAAAATAATGATCTTTAAAATAGCATCATATGACCCCTTTAAGCACAGATGCACACTTGGAAACTTGTTGCACAATATTAAACTGAATTTAATCAACATTGAACTAAACTGAGCTAAATAATAACAGTTGTCGTCTGTAGATCCGCTTTACAGCTGAAATTGCAGTCGTTACAAAATTGATTCATTTTGTACATTTGTAACAAGTTATTCTTACTGGCTTAAAGTTGGCTTGACGACGTTGGACGTCCGATATTCGCAAATGTAGTTTTCTGAATTAAATGTCTCTAAAGTTACATGCGATATTGGTATACATTTTTCTAACTTCAATAGCATTTGAGGAGAATGATTTACAGTCATAAAAACAACTGTAAACTGTTCAACTAGGTGTCAACTATAATGCACACCTTTTACGTTTTTGATATTTATAAAAAAAAACTGTAAATCATATGTAAAAATGCTACTTTTCACAACCGAATGGACTCAAACGCAAATTTAAAGCTCAATAGCATTTGAGGAGAATGACTTACAGTCATAAAAACAACTGTAAACTGTTCATTTTGGTGTCAACTACAATGCACACCTTATACAATTTTTATATTTATTAAAATAAACTGTAAATCATTTGTTAAAAATTTAGAATTTTTTCAGTACAGAATGGGCTCAAACGCAAATTTAAGGCTCAATATCATTTGAGGAGAATGACTTACAGTCATAAAAACAACTGTAAACTGTTCATGTATGTGTCAACTATAATGCACACCTTTTACATTTTTGATATTTGTTAAAAGTAACTGTAAATCATATGTAAAATATGCAACTTTTTCACAACCGAATGAGCTCAAATGCAATTTTAAAGCTCAATAGCATTCGAGGAGAATGACTTACAGTCATAAAAATAACTTTAAACTGTTCATCTAGGTGTCAACTATAATGCACACCTTTTATAATTTTGATATTTGTTCAAATAAACTGAAAATCATATGTAAAAATTGTTATTTTTCCCTACCGAACAGGCTCAAATGCAAAATATGCCATAATTTAAAGCTCAATAGCATTTGAGCAGAATGACTCACAATCATAAAACTGTAAAGTGTTCATCTAGGTGTCAACTATAATGCACACCTTTTACATGTTTGATATTTATTAAGATAAACTCTAAATCATAAATCACACCGAATAAGCTCAAATGCAAAATATGCCATAACGTGACAATAATAATGTGTGTGTGTGAGAGCAGCGCTGGTTTAAATAGAGCTGCAGATGAGGGTGATGGCAGACAGGTGTGTTGATTGTGAAGGGTGTGCAGGTGATGACCAGAGAGGATTATGGGTGCTGTTGAGGTGACAGGCATAGTGACTGGAGAATGTGATTGTGACAGCATCAGACCTGACACCTACATGAACAGTTTACAGTTGTTTTTATAACAGTAAGTGATTCTCCTCAAATGCTATTGAACATTAAATTATGCCATATTTTGTATTTGAGCCCATGCTATTCAAAAATAGCATTTTTAACATATGATTTGATAGTTTATTTCAATAAATATCAAAAATCTAAAAGGTGTGCATTATAGTTGACACCTATGAACACTTCACAGTTTGTAAGTCATTCTCTTCCAATGCTATTGAGCTTTAAATTATTATATATTTTGATTTTGAGCCCATGCGGTATTGAAAAAAATAGCACTATTCACATATGATTTGACAGTTTGTTAATTAATATAAAAAATGTAAAAGGTGTGCATTATAGTTGACACCAACATGAACCCTTTACAGTTATTTTTGATTGTAAGTCATTCTCCTCAAATGCTGTTGAGCTTTAAATTTGAGTTTGAGCCCATTCGGTTGTGGAAAAAGTTGCATATTTTACATATGATTTACAGCTTATTTTAATAAATATCAAAAATGTAAGAGGTGTGCATTATAGTTGACACCAAGATGAACAGTTTACAGTTGTTTTTATGACTGTAAGTCATTCTCCTCAAATGCTATTAAGCTTTAAATTTGCGTTTGAGCCCATTCGTTGTGAAAAGTAGCATTTTTACATATGATTTAGTTTTTTTTAATAAATATGAAAACCGTAAAAGGTGTGCATTATAGTTGACACCTAGTTGAACAGTTTACAGTTGTTTTTATGACTGTAAGTAATTCTCCTCAAATGCTATTGAAGTTAGAAAAATGTATACCAATATCGCATGTAACTTTAGAGATGGTCCCTACATTTGCGAATATCGAACGTCCAACGTCGTCAAGCCAAGTTTATGTCAGTGTTATTATTCTGTTAATTGCTGTAAAGCTACTTTAAAACAATCTGTATAAAGTGCTATATAAATAAATGTGACAACATTAAGTAAAAGTTTGTTTATTGACAAAACCGTCTGGTTCACTTTGTACAACTTTATCATAAAATGTCTCCTGCAGTCTTGCTCACACCTATTAACACTGAAGACAGGATAAACAACATGGGTGCATAGGTTCCAAATAAAACCCCATGCACAATAGAGGACATGCCAAATCAAATCATCCCCAAAAATCATGGCTTGGTGTTAAGACCGCTTCTGAAGAGAAACGGCACTTTATCTGTACAGGATCTGCTTGCAACTGCTTTCATAAACAACAATAACAACTTCTCATGTTTGTAACAGGTGGGTCGAAACTCATTGCCAGCCAATCAAATACACTCTTACAATTACATCTTTTGGATATGTTCAGAATAGCATACTAACATACTATTATCAAAATGCAAAATGCAACATATTGCACAATATTGTATGGCACAATGCAGTGTGCTCGACCTTTCTTGACTTTTTCATAAGACAATGCTACTGTTTACGGTTGTATAATGTGTAGTTTTATTTACTTACCTTTCTCTTAATAGTAATATTTAGCATACATGGCACAATAATCAGTATGCTAGTTTTGCATTCTGAACACAGCCACAATATTTCATTTATAAGCATGCCTGTTTTTGATCTCAGCAGTTTATTTGACAAAATAGCAGGAAAAAGACTTGCATACATTAAACTATTGCTGACATGCATTTATATTAACTGAACATCACTTGCTATATCCAGACCTTGATCACTATTTCAGATTAATGTTTATCAATAGTTCGCTGCTGAATAGCAGGCCCTGCAGACTTTTGAAGGAAAATGTATGGAATTTAAACATAAAATGTCTTAAATGGTGCTGAAAATGCTACACTCTTATTGATAACTGAAAGCATTATCAAATTAGCCAAAATATATAATGAATGAACAAGCAAGTGGAGGGAAATATGCATAACTTTGTGAATCACAGGCATTCTAATGGATTTCATGAGGGATTGTGATAATTTTTAATCCAAAATAATACTAGCTGACAGTGACAGAGAATCCCCCTGCAACAACTTCTTAAATGCTTATGAAACTGCTTGACAAGCGCAGTTTTCTTTCATGGACTGAAGTATTAAGTTGGGGCAGGACCTATTAATGTACTTGTCCACTTTTTGAGACACAAAGCTGCTTTAATTTAAAGGGGTCATATGATGCGCTGGACACATCTGAATATTTGGGTTGAACTGTTCTGGAACAGTGTTGTAAATACAACTTAACCACTGGTTTCTAGTCGTGTCCTATTTTGGAAGACCAAACAAAGTAGTTTAATTTTGCGGCGGCAACAACAATACTACAGCGAGAATAAAAGTTACACCTTCTTTCTTTGCGTGAACATTTGGGCGGCGTTATGCAAATCTTCCCACACAGTGACGTAGACATGTGGGGGCGTGTTAGAAGGAGCCGTTTTAGGAGGGCGTGGACCAGTCTTAACTTTTATAAAGAATATCTCTTTGGGTTTGAGACCTTAGTCTTTGCAACTTTAGGGATCTTATCTATTCACGAACTGCTTGTAACACTCCAAAGAGAAAGGAAAACTTGAAATTGCATCATATGACCCCTTTAAACTTTGACCCCACTGCCATCGTCTGTCATGCATTTATGTGTGGAGAATTACATGTGTGTTAGTTTTTGACTTGAATCATGAGAAAGGGGCTTCAGGAGTTTTAGATTTGTAGGTCATCCCTTAGGGTTGAACCAGACAGCCTAGATCAGGGTTCCTCAAATCTTGCCCTGGAGGGCTAATGCGCTGCAGAGTTTAGCTCCAACCCTGATCAAACTCACCTACCTGTGATTTTCTAATGATCCTGAAGACATTGATTAGCATACTCAGGTCTGTTTGATTAGGGTTAGAGCTAAACTCTGCAGGAAAGTGGATCTTGTGGGCCAGATTTGAGGATCCCTGGCCTAGATCTTTAAAACATTAGATTAGCACAATTATTTCTGCCAGTGCATTAGTCTTGACTGTTAACGGGTCAATAAAGGACTTAAAAAGGCTGGAAAAGGAAAAAACTGCTGTTTCAGACATGTTATGATGTATACTTGTAATTTCCCAAGACCTGAGATTTGTGATTGTCTAGCATGCACAGCACACTGTTTTAAAATTTGACATCTTAAAAATACAAAAACAATGGATTTCAGTTGTGACCGGCAATTTTTTTTTTCATACAGGAACAGGGAAAAATCAGATTCAGCATGTTTTGTGCTGCTTTTGTGTCTTGAGGTGCATTGTCCAAAAAGTGTTGCGCTGTTAAGAAACCCCATACACTGTCAAGTTGGTACGTATTAAAAACAGCTACTAGAAAAAGTCAAAACACTTAAAAAGACGACATAATAAAGTGACTTGTACATATTTTACATCGTCTTTCAGAGTCATTTCTGTACATTACTTGCACAGGAAGGGCACCAGAACACAGTGGAGAGAGTAAGCCTTATCTGGTATCGCTCTGAAAGGAGTAAACCACAGTTTGATCAACATAACTTTGTCTAAAAGGGTGTAAGGAAACAATAATGAGTTTTCTGACATCACTGTTAAGCAAAAACAAAAATATGAGGTAAAAAAGAAGAAGCAAGCTGACTGAACATGACTAGCTGCCAGTCGCAAACACTTCATGGGTCCAGTTTCTTCTCTGAATCTACATTGACCGTAGAGTAATTGTCAACTGCGTAGTCCAGAATTGGTAAAAGAGCTCATCAAAGATGCATCATTTGGGCCAAGGCCGTAAATTAATATGAGATCCATTTCAGCAACAAAGAACAATTATAATTAATAGTCAATGTCATTTCAATGTGGATTATTGCTTTACATATTCACTGATTCACTAAATCTGTAAACTGGTGTTTAGTGGTCCAATATCCAATGGTCCAATGGCAATAGTTGGACTCCAAATTATTTGACATGGATGATGGTAGTGGATGGAAGCGCTTGTGTTCGCCCGCTGTTGCCGTGAGCAGTTTCTCAGTTTGGCCCTGCTGGAGTTTCATGGTGGCTGAACAGAAGGAGAGATGTTCCTCATGTGTTAGAGCTGCTATAGAGGACCTTTGAACTGATTCCCAGAGAGCTGCTGTCGGATGGACGGCTTTGATCCTGCCGTGTCACCGAGCTTTCGCCACACCACCTGAACACAAAGGGACAAAGTCAAAAAAACAGCTGTGCCACATTTACATGTTGTATGTCAGTGCGAAACCTCCATCTTATAAGCTGTTGTCATTTTCAACACTCTCCTTTTTATGTAAATTAGGCTTATATAATTTATTACCATGCTTACGAATGAATCAATTAATTCTGTATGTTCTATAATATTTTGTCTAAATAACAAAAATAAATTTTTTAAATAAATCATTTTACAAGTAAACTTAGACATCACAATGTTATAATGTACAGTGAAAGACTGATTATCATTTTGAGATTTGAATTTAAAGATTACATTTTGCAAGTGTTGAAGTCTTAGGGCCAGATTTACTACATAGGCCAATTTAGTGTGAGACCACAATCCTATAAAATCAAGAAAGTTCTGCTGTTGATCTTCTGACAGTGTGCAAATGAAATACCAATGCAATCTACCAAGAGCAGCGCAAATTAGCAACTATCGCAGCCATGTCAAGCACAAAATGGGTTATGCTGTTTTTGGGTGTTAAATAATGGTGCAAATCCCAGTAAACTGACAACTGCAAACCTTAGTAAGTCACGTTGCATGATATATTTAAATACTCTCCTCCCACACATTTTGCATTTGAAAGGGAAACTCCACATGCAACAAATGCATATGCAATATGGTCAGCCACAAATATAACTGTCCATGCCTTTTCATTGCTTTTCACTGCGGGCCTTTAGTAAATCCTCACAGTAGCTTCTTTAATCCCAAAAGAGGGTTTGCATTGGCACAAGCTGTTAGTAAATACTAAGTGTGTTTAAGTGAGCATTAGATGATGGAAAATGTAATGAAATCTAAGGTGGAATGAGCATGTATGTTTAAATAACTAACATTAGCCTTTTAAAAATGTACAAAATTGTAATATTGGCTGATGATAATGATATATTTGTGCATCCCAATTATAATTTATTTACATTGTCCCTTTTGCACATAAAGTCACAGCTTTGTGTTTGGCGTATTTAACATTATGTTACAATCACCCATAGAAAGTAAGTGAAAACAAGCCAAAGCATCCATCCAGAACTCTTATGAACAGAGTTCACAATGGTGTTGAACAGGCCAGGAGTTTCCAGGTGAGAAGGACATTGGTGTTATTGTGCTCCGAGCTGGATTTCTTCGTTCCCACATTCCACTGAGGGGCCCAACAAACAGATCAAACTATCATGAGCTCTGTGTACCAACCTGTCCATTCACTGACCCCTCCATAAGCTACACCCACTTTGACACTTCTTTGCAAAGGGAAGCTTAACAGAATGTTCCATAAATGAACTGGACATTTCTGTGTCCAGCGTGATTTTAATCATGGGCTTCAAATGAAGTGTGACATTGTAAAGCATTTTTATCTGCCTTCGCAAAGGGTCGAATGAATGAATGGAACGTCACATATTTGGATCGTACACGATATGTTTTAGCAAGCCTGAGAGACCTATCACAAAAATCAAGACAAACACTCACATTGCACATCTCTCGCACTATGGCTTTCTCTTTCTCACTCAGGTCTTCTTCACTTTCTTCTGGAAGCTGCTTGTCCAGATTATCGTGGACCTCCAGAACCTGTTAATATATGGTCAAGAGCATTTTTTCAAACCAGCATTCATAATGTACAACTGTTCATGTCATTTCTAGAAAAAAAAGAGGGACAAAGCAAAGATTCTCTTTCATTTAAAGGGGTCGTATGATGCGATTTCAAGTGTTCCTTTCTCTTTTGAGTGTTACAAACTCTTGGTGCATAAAGACGATCTGTAAAGTTGCAAAGACTAAAGTCTCAAATTCAAAGAGATATTCTTTATAAAAGTTAAGAGTCAGCCACGCCTACCTAAAACGGCTCGTTCTAACACGCCCCCCACATATCTACCTCACTATGTGGGAAGATTTGCATAACGCCGCCCAAATGCTCACACAAAGAAAGAAGGCGTAACTTTTATTCTCGCTGTAGTATTGTTGTTGCCGCCGCCATGTCGTGAAGGCGCTGTGTGTTTCGTTGTGAAAGCGAAACTAGTTTGTTTGGCCTTCCAAAAGAGGACGATATCTGCTTCGTCATGCCTGGAGCTGATCTGTGCTGGTCGCTGAGGAAATACAACAACTTCGCTGTCGATCGCCGGATGGGCTTTCACCGTGGACGAAGCGGAGTCCAGGCCGGAGTCGTCACATGTGGTTGCCGCAGGCATCACAATATGGTAAGGGATGTAACATTTCCGTCACACGCTTGAAGTATTCGGCCAATCACAATGCACTGGATAGCTGGCCAAGCCAATCACAGCACACCTCGCTCACCTCAGAACGATGAGCTTTGTAAAAATCGACGCGTTTCAGAAAGGCGGGGCATAAAGGAGAAATAATAATGTACAGTATGTGGAAAATAATGTGTTTTTTTAACCTTAAACCACAAACACATTTCATTACACCAAATACACAAAATAATTTTCTTTTTAGCAACACCATATGACCCCTTTAACATTTTATTTGACATTCAACAGCATATAAATTATGCTAAATTATTAGAAACATTTCTTAAATTAGAAATTAGAAACATTTCAAGCATTTTCACCAGTGTTCTAATGTTCTAGTAAATTAAATCGGTTAATCATATAAAGCAATTGTGTATCTACAGAAGACTTTGATTAAAGTGCTTGATTCATATGCATTATTTTTACAATGTTTTTTTATGAACTTTATGAAGCTTGGATTTTGGTTATGCAGACTCTCAAAAATATCTTAACCTGAAGCTGAAAATCTTATGGGTTTGGAATGACATTATAGGGAGTACAATTTAATTTTTGGGTGAACTATCCCTTCAAATCAAACATAAAAGTTGTTGAATACCATTGCATTAGATGACAATATATCCAAAATATAAAAATATATATAAAAATAGAACTTTGAGAGCTTTTTTCGCAGAAGTAAAATAATTTTTCCATGATATAATAACTGGTATCAAAGTGATTATTTTGTGAATTTATGCATTAATTTCCTGATTTCATAATTCACAGTTCATCAGTTGACACAGGTGTCCTAGCAGAGAAACCATAGATGTAGTTCATCACACTACTATGAACATATTCCAATTACATCTGACCACAATATGTTCAAACGCTTTATTTTGAACAGTATATCTACTGTTTTAGCAATAGAAACCTGTTTCGGTTAATGTTTTGATTAAAAAGCTTTATATACAGTTCTACATTTAAAGCTGCAGTCCATCAACTTTTTTGTGTTCAAAATGTACAAAATGTATATGATAAGCGAGTACACCATGAATCCATTTTCCAAACCATGTTTTTGGCTTGTGCTGAATCACTACAGTACACCTATAATAAGTGTTTATATTCGGACTATTTAGACTGGTTCGGGTAGGTAACGCTGCGGAGTAGCCCACTACCTGCGTGATTCGCCATAGACATAAACTGAGAGAAGTAGCTCCGGCTACAGTGTTCTTCCGCAAGACGCACGCAGTTCTGTTTAACCGCTAGAGCGCCAAAAGTTACGGACTGCAGTTTTAAATAAATGCTATTTGGTTTGATAACGTGTGAAAAACGTGTGCACCTTCATGGCACGAACCACAGCTTCAGGTTTCTGTACAGATGAGACAAACCCGGTGGAAGGAGACGACTCACTGGTCTGTAGCCTTCCAGTCCCCTAGAGAAGAGAACACATAGGGGGTCAGTTCGCTCCTGGCACACATACTGGTTAAAGGACCATGGCATACTGTATTTTTTGGGATATGGTATAATGGAAGTATACACTAATATTCAAAATGTTGGGGTCAGTAAGATTTTTTTCCTGAAAGAAATGAATACTTTTATTCAGCAAGGATGAATTAAATTGACCAAAAGTGACAATAAAGATGTTTATATTGATTCTTAATATGATCCAGGTTCTGTGACTCACTGGTTTAATTGCTGGTTTGTTGAAAAATTCTAATTTCAGGGTTTGTCTCACGCCTCTCCCTGTAACCACTTTTCAAACCAAACCTATGCCTTGTAAAGGCTGAGGTTAAAAACATCAAAACATCCTGCTGGAAAACGTCATCTAAAACCACTGAAACATGGTAACTGGTTTATAGCTGGTCATTAGTGGGTCCAGTTTGGTTTAAACGGTTGACCAGCGGAAGTACAGAGTGGTAAACATAACCAACAGTTTGAGTACCAAAAGCAGCATATCAGAATGATTTCTGTCCTGACACTGAAGACTGGAAATAAGAGCATAAGAGACCTCTTTCAAAAACATAAAATCTTTTGAAGTGTATATACACAGTGAATGATAATATTGAATGTAACAAATTTGAAAGTATTTTAAGGTATACACAGAGCGAAATATCTTCTGATATCATGAACAGGATGGGTCAGAAGCAATTTTAATATGGTGGGGCAGACACAGGTATAGTAAACGTGACTTATTTTCCCTTTATTTCCCTTTCCCTCTCCCTGGGAAGTCGTGGAGAGTCGGACTCGTAACCCAAAGGTTGCGGGTTCGAGTCTTGTACTGGCAGGGATTGTAGGTGGGGGGAGGGAATGTACAGCGCTCTCTCCCACCTTCAATACCACGACTGAGGTGCCCTTGAGCAAGGCACCGAACCCCCAACTGCTCCCCGGGCGCCGCAGCATAAATGGCTGCCCACTGCTCCGGGTGTGTGTTCACACTGCTCCGGGTGTGTGTTCAAGGTGTGCGTGTTCACTGCTGTGTGTGTGCGCACTTTGGATGGGTTAAATGCAGAGCACTAATTCCAAGTATGGGTCACCATACTTGGCCACATGTCACTTCACTTCACTTTTTATACGGGTCAGAAGCAATTTTAATATGGTGGGGCAGACACAGGTATAGTAAACGTGACTTATTTTCCCTTTATTTCCCTTTCCCTCTCCCTGGGAAGTCGTGGAGAGTCGGACTCGTAACCCAAAGGTTGCAGGTTCGAGTCTCGTACTGGCAGG